GGGAGCAGGATGGGGGATCAGGAGGGGGTGCTGTCCCCTCAAAGTCAGTGCTGGGCCAGTGCCCCAGCACACCACTTAGGGTCTGTGCTGCAGGGAGCAGTATGTGTGCCTTTGTGGGAGACCCTCCCGGCTACAGCACCATAGGGCGCTGGGTAACCGTAGATCCCATTTGTGGGATTTGGGGTTGAATGGATCCTGCAGCCACTCAAGTATAGCTTTAAGATGTTTGGGGTTCCTATCTATGTCACTCTGGGTGATTTACATCTCAGCTAATTACCCATAAAGTTGTAATATGCCCCACTGTTGTGACTGGAGACAGGGTTCTTACTCACTTCCTCTCCTACACAGCTTATGAGTTTCTGTACCCTGTCTCTCATCTACCCTGTTCCATGCTACAGGTGGCTGCATGGTAGTTGTGAGGAGAAGGGCTGTGAAGTTATTAAAAAGTTAATCGAGATTAATTGTGAGATAAAAAATTAATCACGATTAATCGCATAATTTATTGTGCCTTTATACAATAATAGAATACCATTTATTTCATTTTTTGGGATGATTTCTACATTTTCAAATATATTTATTTCATTTACAACACAGAATTCACACTGTACAGTAGAAATATTTGCACTCTGGGGCAGACTGCAGTCTGTAAACCACTCATCATCGGCAATGGGGGTTAGACCTACTGCCTCTGCCTTTATCTGGGCTGCCCCTTTGCAGCCCCAGTACCTTTTTGTGGGCCCTTAGCTTGGCCTGCAGCCTGGGACTTTGCTAGGATGGAGCTCCCCAGCTCCCTCTGCCCTTCCCCAGTGCCAGGGCCAGATTAACTTTATGTGGACCCAGCGCCAAACATCATTGTGGGCCATCACTGGGGAAATAGGGGATGTGATTGGCCGTGGTCCGCAGAGCGAGGGGCCGGTTGGGGGCAATGAGACGCAGAGCAGCAGGAGTGGCCCCACTCAGCCCAGCACAAGGGCACTATTTACCAACCCCAAAGTGCTAGACGCACACTGTCCTGCACAGCCCTGCACTGCCAGCGTACCCCTTCCACACTGCCCCCTGCTCAGTGTCCTGCTCTTATACCAGTGCCCCCTCACCCAGAGACTTCCTCCACAGATCCCTATGCCCAGCACCCCTGCCTAGAGACCCCTCCCGCTGACATCCCACCACAACTACACAGCACCCTGCACACCATAGGAGGTGAGAGCGGGAAGCGGAGAAAAGTGGGCCTGGTCGGGGCCCCCCTGGAGTGCTACTGCCCAGTGCTGCTTCACCCTAGATAGAGTGTGTCTCTCTTCTGCTTCTGGCCCCAGCCCTCTTATAAGGGCCAGCTGGGCCCTGATTAAGCTCACCACAGCTGTGGCTGCTTTCCCAATCAGCCCAGCTTTCTCTGATGCAGCCTTCTCCATGGCTGCTTTATCCCCTTCAGGCAGGAGTGGGGTGCCCACCCCCCTACACCTCCCCCCACAGAAACATCAGTGGCTCGCCACACACCCAGGGCTCCTGAGAGCCCCGCATGAGACAAGCACTCTGGGCCATCATGCTCAGGCACAGCGCCCAAACTAGCGCCACTAGTTGTACTGCAGCCACGTCCAGTCACGGGGGAGGCGGGGACAGAGGCACCCGACCCAGCCTCCAGAGAGCCAGTAGGGCAAGAAGACCGAGTCCCACAGGCCTGCTCCTCACTGGACGAGGCCGTGGCTGGCACCACCATCTCCCTTTGGTGATGGACACCAGGGGACACCAAGTATCAGGGGGTAGTCTTGCAGCTGAAGAAGTGAAGTTTTTACCCATGAAAGCTTATGCCCAAATAAATCTGTTAGTCTTTGAGGTGCCACCAGACTCCTTGTTGTTTTTTCAGGGGACACCAAGACATTCTTAGGAGAGTGTCCCTAAACCTGAATCTCCAGGCAGAGGAGGTCACGGAGGAGTTGGACCCGATGGTGGACATCCTCTAGGGTGGCCTTGCCCCTGATAAGAATGATCCAGAACACTCCTAGGGTGCTGTGGCAGACTCCAGACTCAATACCACCCACCACTATAGGGGTGGAGAGAAGCTATTTTTTGCCACAGAAAGGGTACGAACACCTTTTCACCCACCCCCAACCAGGGACTCAGGTGGTCGATGTGGCAAATCATAAGGAGTGACAGGTGTAGCCAGGTCCCACCCCAAAGTCACGGAACACTAAGAAGCTGGATTTTTTGGCCAAAAGGTCTACTCGACGGGGGGGCTCCAGCTTCGAGTAGCCAACCGGCAAGCGGTACTCAGCCACTTTCAATTCCTGGAGCTCGTTAGCAAAATTACAGGAGTTACTCCTGGCAGACTCGTGCAAGGAGTTTAGCGTGCTCCTCAAGGAGGGCAAAGTAGTCTTGAGAACCTCCCTCCAGGCTGTGTTATACGCAGCAGACTCGGCATCTTGGACTATGGCCACCGCCATTACAATGAGGCGCAGAACGTGACTACAGGTGTCGGGGATACCACCTGAAGTCCGGAACACGATCCAGGACCTCCTCTTTGACCGTGCAGGCCTGTTTGCACAAAATACGGATTCTTGCCTGCACAACCTTAAGGACTCAAAGGTGACTTTAAAGCCTTTGGGGATCCACACCCTGCACCCCAAGGAAAGCTATTTAAGCCTCAGTCCCCATCTCATTTCTACTCTGGGCCTCCGAGGCAAGACTCGTCCAGGAGACGGTGCAGGAATAACAGGAGGCGCCCTCCACAGTCCTCCTTAGGCCAAGGCCGGGGTTCGGCCAAACAGCCCCCAGGCCCGAAGCCAAACTTTTGAAGATGTGCCCGAGGACGGAGCATCAGTATCAAACTTGGATCCTTACCCTCCCTTTGTGAATCCATTCTCCCGCTTCTTGCGTGCTTGGTCCAAGATCACGTCAGATAACTGGGTCCAGAGAATGGTACGGATGGGATATTCTATGCAATTCTGTTCCCTCCTGCCCTCCCACCCCCTTTCCCCGTTCCTCTTCAGGGACCCTTCTCACAAACAACTCTGCTTGCAGGAGGTGCAATCGCTTCTCGCTCTAAGGGCAATGGAGGAGGTTCCTCAGGAGTTCATGGGCAAGGGGTTCTACTCCCGCTATTTCCTCATCCCCAAGGCCAAGCATGGGGTCTGGCCTATCCTGGATCTGCGAGACCTCAACACATTCATGAGGAAAGTGAAGTTTCTCATGGTCTCTCTGGTCTCCATCATTCCTTCCCTGGATCCAGGGGACTGGTATGCCACCCTAGACTTGAAAGATGAGTACTTTCATATCTCCATTATCCGGCCCACAGACATTTTCTTCATTTTGTGGTCAGCGGCCAGCACTACCAGTTCAGGGTGCTCCCGTTTGGGCTCTTGGCGGCCCCCGGGTATTCACAAAGTGTGTGGCGGTCGTTGCAGCCTTCCTCCGCAAACATCAGGTGCAAGTATTTCCGTACCTGGACAACTGGCTCATCAAGGCCGTGTCGCAAGCACAGGCTGCAGAGCATGTGTCACTGGCACGGGCCACCTTCCACCGGCTGGGCCTCATACTGAATGTGCCCAAATCCACCCTAGCCCTGACGCAGAGAATAGAATTCATAGGAGCTCTCGTGGACTCCACACAGGCCAGGACGTTCCTGCCCGAGCTGCGCTTCCAAGCACCTCATGGACATTATCAAAAACCTTCGCTGATTCCCCACAACCACGGCCAGAAATTGCATGAAACTGTTGGGGCATATGGCGGCCTGCACATACGTGGTCCAGCACACCAGGTTACGCCTTTGCCCCCTCCAGGCGTGTTTGGCGAGGGTACACAGGCTGGGCAGGGACCCACTGGACCGGATAGTTACCCTCCCCACTCGCATTCTTGAGTCTCTCCACTGGTGGTTGCAGCAGGAGTACCCTTTGCCAAACCCCATCCTACGCTATAGCTAGTCACGGACCCCTCAGCGCTCGGTTGGGGAGCGCACCTGGGCAATATCAGAAGCCAAGATCTATGGTCCCACACAGAACTATCGCTGCACATCAGTGTAAGGGAGCTGAGGGCGGTTCGTCTGGCATGCCAAGCATTCCAGGCTCACCTTCAGGGCGCATGAGTGTCGGTGGTGCCGCGATGTTCTATATAAACAAACAGGGTAGTGCTTGTTCCTCTCCCCTGAGCTAGGAAGCCCTTGAGCTGTGGGACTTTTGCATGGCTCACTCGGTACACCTAGAGGCGTCGCACCTTCCGGGAGCACAAAAAGAGCTAGCTGATCGCCTCAGCTTCTCGTTTCACGGTCAGGAATGGTCCTTCAGGCCAGACATCACACACTCGATTTTCCAGAGGTGGAGGCTTTCCCCACATGGACCTCAACCTGGTCCTGTCCACGCTCATGGGAACCCCTTTCGAGCCCATGGCGACCTGCCCTCTGTCCTGCCTTTCCTGGAAGGTGGCCTTTCTGGTGGCCATAACCTCGGCCAGAAGGGTATCGCAGCTCAGAGTGCTGACTTCCGATCCCTCCTATATGGTCTTAAATAAAGAGAAGGTGCAGCTACTCCCTCACCCTGCATTTCTGCCAAAGGTAGTCTCCAAGTTTTATATGGACCAGGACATATTTTTACCTGTGTTCTTCCCTAAGCCACATGCCAGTAACAGAGAGCACATGTTCCATTCCTTGGACGTCAGGCGTGCCCTAGCATTCTACATGGAGCATACAAAGCCATTTCATAAGTCACCACAGCTCTTTATTGCAATCGTAGAAAGGATGAAGGGGCTTCTGATCTCGTCCCAGCGCATTTCATCATGGATCACGTCCTGTATCAGGACTTGCTACGACCTGGCTAAAATTCCAGCCCCTTCGCTTACGGTGCACTCCACAAGAGCGCAGGCTTTGTCCGCAGCATTCCTGGCGCAGGTACCTATCCAGGAAATATGCAAGCCAGTAACATGGTCCTCTATCCACACCTTCATGTCACGCTACGCCATTATCCAATAGGCAAGGGACGATGCAGCCTTTGGCAGGGCAGTCCTGCATTCCTCAACCAGGTGAACTCTGACCCCTCCCCCAGGGAAACTACTTGGGAGTCACCTATTGGAATGCACATGAGCAATCACCTGAAGAAGAAAAACGGTTATCTACCTCTCGTAACTATTGTTCTATGAGATGTGTTGCTCATGTCCATTCCAAATCCCACCTGCCTCCCCTCTGTCAGAATATTCTGGCAAGAAGGAACTGAGCAGGTGGCGGGTCGGCAGTGACCGATATACACTGACATGAAGGCCCCAATCCAGGGGTCTCCACGGCCCACCCGACAGGTACCGCTAGGGGAAAAAAACTTCCAACAACCGTATAAGCAGTGTGTGCACACCTATTGGAAAGGACATGAGCAACACATCTCGAAGAAGAACAGTTACGAGAGGTAGGTAATCGTTTTTTCCACAGCATCACTAGTGATCGATCGCACAGTATCCTCCTTGAATGTTTTTTCCCTTGGGTGTTTGCAGACGCTGGCATCTCAGAAGTGGCTCAGATCGAACTGGTGAACGGCCCGAGTCGCTGCGCTGGGAGGGTCGAGGTGCTTCACAACCAGCTCTGGGGAACCGTGTGTGATGACAGCTGGGACTTACAGGATGCCAGAGTCGTGTGCAGACAGCTGGGCTGTGGGACGGCGTTATCAGCCCCAGGAGGGGCTCGATTTGGGCGAGGATCTGACCGTATCTGGCTGGCTGACGTCAACTGCAGAGGGACAGAAGTTGCCCTCTCCGATTGCAGGGCTTGGCCTTGGGGAGAGAATAACTGTAACCACGGAGAAGATGCCGGTGTTGTGTGCTCAGGTAACCTTCATCTACCACCCTGCCTGTTGTAGGGAGGAGGGTGGGAAACTCATTAGCGGGCCTTGTCCCCTCACAGCCAGTGCTGACCCCAGCATGATGCTTGGGGTCTCTGCTTCAGGGAGCAATATGACGGTTCCAGTAGGGAGCACTCTCCTCTCAGTCTGTGTTGACCCTAATTCCCCTGTGCGGTTCTATGGGCCTGTGCTGCAGTAGAGGGGTGTCAGTAGGGGGCGCGCTCTGTTTGTAGTTTTGCTGGCCCTTATGCCCCCGTGCAGTGCCCTGGGCCCCTAGCATGTGGAAGCCTTGTCTGTGCCCGCGGGGGGCAGCTCCCTGACTCCCGCGGCCAGAGACCACACAAGCCGTGCCCTCTAGGCCTTGGAGAGGGGGGTGACCTCTTTCCAGGTTGGCAATAGGCACACTTCACCCCTCAGCCCTTCGAGCGTCTTCCTATACCACCCAGTCCCTGTCTCACTGTGCATTCACAGCAGTCACAGATATGTTGCTCCCAAAGGAACAGGGTCCCAAGGTGACCAGCTCCACCTCCCATCTCAGCCCCAATCAGCACACAGCTCTAGATCCCTTCATAGTCACACCAACGACAAGTGATTTCACAGAGTGTAGAGATTTGAGGGGTAGCAAGGAGAAGGGTTGGAAAGAAATGGTTCCATGGCCAATAAAATCATATCACACTGGTTAGAGCCTAGATTCATTGAACGAGATACTTTTCTGTCTGGTAGAGCAACGCTCATGCCACAGTCCTTCCAGGGTCTTACTCCAGGCTTGGCTGTGTCACTTGTTCCTGAGATAAACGCTGTCAGTCGCCTCCTGGGTGAAAGGGAGCTCTTGTCCCCTCTCCTCTTTCTTTGTATGTACAGACCATTGTCTCTTCCCAGAAGTGGTCTCTCTTTGGAGACTTGTGCTCAGGGACCTTTGTCTTTGTAAATTCTCAGGCCCCCACTGGGCCCAGACAGTGAATATAGCCTGTCTCCACAGCTGTGCATTGTTCTATGTGCTGATTGGCTCAGTCGAAGGGATTGCCATGGCGCAGGTGACAAGCTTCACTTCAACACTTCTGGAGTGTCGTATTCTACATTTTATATCTCTCTTCAGCTATATCCCATACAAATATTTTGCTCCTATTAGGTCGACCAGCAGTCTGCTGGCTCTTGTTAGAGAACTCACATACCACCTCTGGTGAGGTATTGTGCATATATCTCACCCAGGGGATCCCTGTATAACTCTAGGGATCCCTGTGCCCTCTGCCAGTTGGCGTCTATTTATCTCTGGGCCAGACTCCTCTGCGGCACAATGGGGACCCGGGTAACTGCAGGTTCCACTGGTTGTATTTGGTGTCAATGGAGCCTGCAGCTGCTCACTCAACCTAAAAATCCAGGGCCTATTTCTGAAGAATCCGGTTCCTATTGACTGTGTTCTGGCGTATTTGTATTTCACTGAATTAGTCCTGAACTTGTAACTTTCCCAAGGGCTGGACACATGAGGTTCAATTCTTCCTCACTTCCTGTTCTACACAGCCTACATATTTAACTGTCCTGTTTCTCAGCTGCCGTGTCCTACCCCAGAGTGGCTCCATGTCAGTGGGGTGAGTCTTCTTCTTTTGTGTACGTCACAAGTCAATATCTATGTAACCCTTCTGCCAGTGGCGTCGGAAGCGAGCAGGGCCAGATTCAATATCTAGGGGTTTCTTTCCAGCAATATAACACAGATCCAGCTTGAGCACCCACCCAGTTACCACGGACAATTACACACCATCCCCTGCGTGCTGCTACGAGGCAAAACTTCCCCTCTTGCAAGCACACGGTCTCAGTGCAGAAAAGAAACATTTTAATAAAGAGAAAAACAACGAGGAGTCCTTGTGGCACCTTAGAGACTAAGACATTTATTTGGGCATAAGCTTTCGTGGGCTAAAACCCAGTTCATCAGATGCATTCAGTGAAAAATACAGTAGGCAGTATATATATTACAGCACATGAAAAGATGGGAGTTGCCTTACCAAATCGGGGGTTATTGGTAACGAGGCCAATTCAATCCAGGTGGAAGTGGCCAGTTACCAACAGTTAACAAGAAGTTGTGAATATCAACAGAGGGGAAATTACTTTTTGTAGTGCTAACGAGACCAATTCAATCAGGGTGGACGTCGCCCATTCCAAGCAATGCCCCTCTGCCATGTACATTATCCAAACTCTACAGTCTCTACGCAAAAGAATAAATGGACACAAATCATATATCAAGAATTGTAACATTCAAAGACCAGTAGGAGAGCACTTCAATCTCCCTGGACACTCAATAACAGACTTAAAAGTGGCCATTCTTCAACAAAAAACTTCAAAAACACTTCAACGAGAAACTGCAGAACTGGAATTAATTTGCAAACTGGACACCAACAAATTAGGCCTGAATAAAAACTGGGAGTGGCTGGGTCACTAGAAAAAGTAATTTTCTCTCTGTTGATACTCACACCTTCTTCTCAACTGTTGGGAATTGGCCACTTCCACCTTGATTGAATTGGCCTCGTTAGCACTGACCCCCCACTTGATCAGGCAACTCCCATCTTTTCATGTGCTGTAATATATATACTGCCTAATGTATTTTTCACTCCATGCATCTGATGAAGTGGATTTTAGCCCACGAAAGTTTATGCTCAAATAAATTTGTTACTCTCTAAGATGCCACAAGGACTCCTCATTGTTTTTGCTGATACAGACTAACACGGCTCCCACTCTGAAATGTTTAATGAAAGGAGGGAAGCCCCTGACATTAACTTGGGAAAATGCCACAAACAGGATTTTGTAAACATAAAACCATGAGCAAAACACCTACCCCAGAGTATGTTGGTCTGTGTCTTTTGCCTCAGGTTCTTGAGTCCAGCAACTAGAAGTTTGTGTATGGTGCCCCTCCCTGCTCCCTCCACTGCACCCCACTCACAGTGGTTGTCCTTGGTTAGTAAAGACCCAGAGTTCAGAGGTGCACATGTGTGAGTTCAGTTCCCACCTTGAGGGCAGGGAGGAGAGCGCCTGGTTCGCTCTGCTGTCCGGGTGCTTGCTCTGGTGGCAGCTGCCCTGCAAGCTACTCACCACTCTGCTCGCCCTCACCTTCTGCTGTCCCCGGCCGCTCTACTGTGACCTCTGCACGTTGCTCTCTTGAACCTCCTCCCAGCCCTAAGTGACTGTCAGCTCTTAGTGCAAAAACCTCAGTGCTGAAGCAGGCTGGACAGAAACACTGTCTCACAGCAGGTGATTTCAGCTCTAGTGATCACTTAAACCAGTGGTCCCCAATGCGGTGCCTGCGGCTGCCAAGGCGCATGCCGGGGCATCTATGTGCGCCTGCCTACTGACAAGGGAGCGCCCCGCCGCCGAGGAGCGCGGCCGCTCGAGAAGCAGCCACTGAAATGCCACCGAGAAGCAGCAATGTCAAGAAGCATCGCCACCGAAATGCCGCTGCTTCTTGGTGGCATTTTGGCGACAACATTCCTTGTCGTTGCCGCTTCTCGGCGGCATTTTGGCGGCTGCTTATCTGGCGCCCGCGCTCCTCGGCAGAATTTCGGCGGCTAGTCGTCTGCTGGCCGCCACACTGAAAGGTTGTGGACCACTGACTTAAACCGAAAAGACTGCCAATGGAGCATTCATTAACTTGATCTTTGAAGAGTGGTGAGGGGCAGATTAAACCATGCCTAGACCTCTTACACAGAGCCCACACCCCTAAGAAGGAACACCCATCTCTACCCCCTCTCATTCTTGATAGGTGTCTGGTGTCTGAGCCCCCTGGTTAGTGAGTTCAGTTCAGTTGTGGGTGACGCCCTCAGTCCGGGCAGGCTAAGCACAGTTCTGCTGCCCTTTACTCAGACAATCAGGGCAACAACATTTCACTACCCCTGTATTCAAGTACTTCAGTGGATTGTAACCCAGAACCAGCCAACATAGCTCTGTCTGCTGGACACCTAGTCAGAGTGGGTGTGTTCTTGAAAATACCCTCTGGTCCTGAAGCCTTTCCCCCTCCCCAGCTCATCACTAGCTGTCAGGGGAGAGCTCATTCCCACCTTGCTGACCTCTAGCTTGTTCAGCCATCTGACTGTGCATCCTCAAGGTCCAGTCTTCTAACAGGGCTCTGCTCCACCACTTGTGACTGTCTGTATTGCTGCCCCACAGGCACACTGAGAAGATCAGGCAAAGCCACATTTCTGCATTGCAGCAGTCCCTCTGGCCAGTCCAGTAGGTGTCCATTAAACTTAATCCAGGATCTGTGTCCCAGGTAGTAAATCGGCAGATACAAGTTAGGGCTTCTGAATATCCATCAGCACACCAGTCTCTGTATCCCAGAGGGCTGGCTTTCTGTGAGGACCCAGCTGTCAGCCCAGCTATGTCATCATTCATCTGAGACTGGTACTGCACTGGCAGCACTAGAGAGGAGTGCAATTATAGCTGCCTCAAAACGATGTTGCTAAGTCAGTCGTGGCAAGTCAGGAAGACCCACAGGGACAGGTGTTTGCTTCAGGAGGGGGCCGATCTGCTTGTAGGAAGTGTGCATTGCCTCTGCACTAGTCGGAACCATTGTCAGCCTGGTGTGCAGCAGGTTCCTGCCAGGCGTCCCTCCGCTCCAGGCAGTTCTAAGGGGGATGGACTCTGGGTGATGTTTTCAGGGAGCTGTGGAGCCAACACATGTAAATTCGATGCTGATGTTAGGCTAAGGCAACCACAAATGACACCGGTAACTGTGTTCAGCTCCCAGTCACCAAGATGCTAATGACAGCGTTTGCCCTGCAGCACTGCACACTGTTGCACTGGAGCGAATACCAGAGCCAGGAGTGAGGCTGTAAATCTGTTCCCAAGGAGGTTCCTGCCAGCAGTGTGGGGGGTGATCTTTTTAAGTGCTCTAGTGGGAGCAGTAAGTCAGACTGCAGTCGAGCCTGCCTAATCAGGTGACGGCCTAACTAGGGGAGAGCTGGCTGGGAGGGGAGTGGACAAACTTCAACATTGGCCACCTGATTAGCCTGGTCAGTGGCGGGGAGCCTTTGACAGGCAGTGGCTGTGTGCAGAGACCGGTCAGATCCGTCAGCAGGAGGTGTTACGTTCCCCAGTGACAAGAGAGATCATTTGCACAGGAAACTCCCTGAGTGTTTATTCCCTTGGGTGTTTGCAGACGCTGGCATCTCAGAAGTGGCTCCGCTCCAACTGGTGAACAGCCCGAGTCACTGCGCTGGGAGGGTCGAGGTGCTTCACAACCATCAATGGGGAACCGTGTGCGATGACAACTGGGACTTACAGGATGCCGGAGTCGTATGCAGGCAGCTGGGCTGTGGGACGGCGTTATCAGCTCCAGGAGGGGCTCGATTTGGGCGAGGGTCAGATGGTATCTGGCTAGATGACGTCAACTGCACAGGGAAAGAAGTTGCCCTCTCCGATTGCAGGGTTGAGGCTTGGGGAGAGAATAACTGTACCCACGGAGAAGATGCCAGTGTAGTGTGCTCAGGTAACTTGCATCCATGACGTCACTTTGGGTGGTGCATTGATCGGGCCATAAAGCTTTAAGCACAGACCCAGCTCTCCTGTCTGAGTCTGCGCTGACCCCAGTGCCCCAGCATGGTGCTAAGGGTCTGTACTGTAAGGAGCCATTTTGGGTTCACAGTAATTGTCTCTCTTCCCATTGTGTCAGTGCTGACCCCATTGCCCCACACAGTTCTACATGCCTGTGCTCCAGGGAGTGGGATGGGTGATCAGTAGGGGGGGCTGTCCCCTCTAAGTCAGTGCTGGACCAGTGCCCCAGCACACCACTTAGGGTCTGTGCTGCAGGGAGCAATACGTGTGCCTCTGTAAGAGACCCTCCCGGCTACAGCACAATGGGGCGCTGGGTAACCGTAGATCCCATTTGTGTGATTTGGGGTTGAATGGATCCTGCAGCCATTCAAGGATCCCTTTATGAAGTGTGGGGTTCCTATCTATGTCACTCCGGGTGACTTACATCTCAGCTAATTACCCATAAACTTGTAACATCCCCCACAGTGTGGCTTGAGACAGGGTTCTTCCTCACTTCCTCTCCTACACAGCTTATGAGTTTCTGCGCCCTGTCTCTCATCTACTCTGTTCCACCCCACAGGGTGGCTGCATGGTAGTGGTGGGGAGTAGGGCTGTCAAGTTATTAAAAAGATAATTGTGATTAATTGTGAGATAAAAAAATTAATTTTATCATTATTAATTATACAATTAATCACACCTTTACAGAATAATAGAATACTATTTATTTCAATTTTTTGAGATGTTTTCTACATTTTCAAATATATTGATTTCAATTACAACAAAGAATACAAAGTGTACAGTGCTCACTTTATATTTATATTTGATTACGCATATTTGCACTGTAAAAAAGAAACAAAACAAATATTATTTTCAGTTCACCTCATACAAGTACTGTAGTGCAATCTCTTTATCAGGAAAGTTGAACTTAAAAATTTAGAATCATTTACAAATAATAACCGTAATCAAAAATAAAACAATGTAAAATTTTAGATCCTACAAGTCCACTCAGTCCTACATCTCATTCAGCCAATCGCTCAGACAGAGAAATTTCTTTACCTTTGCAGGAGATAATGCTGCTTGCTTCTTGTTTACAATGTTACCTGAAAATGAGAACAGGCACTCACATGGCACTGTTGTAGCTGGTGTAGCAAAATATTTATGTGCCAGATGCGATAAAAATTCATATGTCCCTTTATGCTTCGACCACCATTCCAGAGAACATGCGTCCATGCTGATGATGGCTTCTGCTCACTAACGATCCAAAGCAGTGCAGACCGACAAATGTTCTTTTTCATCATATGAGTCAGCTGCCACCAGCAGAAGGTTGATTTTCTTTTTTGTTGGTTCAGGTTCTGTAGTTTCCATATTGGAGTGTTGCTCTCTTAAGACTTCTGAAAGCATGCTCCACACCTTGTCCCTATCAGATTTTGAAAGGCACTTCAGATACTTAAACCTTGGGTCGAGTGCTGTAACTAGCTTTAGAAATCTCACATTGGTTCTGTGATGTTCCCCTCTGTTGTTATCTGGACTGGTGATCTGCTAGGTCACTCCAATCCTTGACTGTGGGAGCCAGCCTTTCCCTGCTCTGCTGTGAGAATCCCTACCCCTGGGCTCTTCACACACAGCCTCTGACATGTAAGCTGCTCCTTGGATTGTGCAACCAAATGACACTAGCCAATATTGCCGGTCCCAGACACAACCCGAGGAACCTCCTTCTTGCAGTCTCCAGTTATGCACGCTGGACGCTGCAAGCTTATATGAGTTCATCAATTTAACAAAGAAATTGATATGTACCAGGCTTGTTATACCAAGGGGAGTCTCTGACACGCTTCAAAGCAAACACAGTGCTTCAGATTGAACAAACAAACTGAGTTATTAACTATGAAGATAGATTTTAAGTGATTATAAATCAAAACATAACGAGTCGTATTTTGTCAAATGAAAGCAAAACACAGTAAAAACTGTTTTTCCATCAATTCACCAACAGGAAAGCTCTATAAATCGGTGTTTCTGATCTTAATTGAAATGCCTGTTTATAGTCCGGTTGGCATGGTGCCGGCAGGGTGCTGGGGTGCAGGAGGGGGTGTGGAGCACGGGCTTTGGGAGGCGTCTTAGCATGCAGAATGGGGTGCAATATGTAAGATCCATGGCCGCTCACCTTGGCGACCTGTCCTGGGCTCTGGCTACTCCTAAGCAGAGGTGTGCCAGGTGGCTCTGCATTTTGCCCCCCCTCCATGCCGGCTGCACAGCTCCCATTGGCTGGCAACCATGGCCAATGGGAGCTGCGGGGGTGGCACATGCGGGCGGATATAGTGCACCAAGCTGCCTGCCGCGCCTCCACCTAGGAGGAGCCGGGACAAGTTGCTCGTGGCAGACTCGTGCAAGAAGTTTAGCGCGCTCCTCGAGGAGGGCAGAGTGGTCTCGAGAACATCCCTCCAGGCCAAGTTAGACATGGCAGACTCAGCGGCTTTGACTATGGCCACCACCATTACAAGGAGGCGCAGCGTGTGGCTCCAGGTGTCGGGGATACCACCTGAGGTCCAGAACACCATCCAGGACCTCCCCTTTGACCGTGCAGGCCTGTTTGCCCAAAATACAGACTCTTGCCTGCACAGCCTTCAGGACTCGCAGGAGACTTTAAAGTCTTTGGGGATCCATACCCCTGCACCTCAAAGAAAGCCATTTAAGCCTCAGCCCCGTCTCACTTCTACCCTGGGCCTCCGAGGCAAGACTCATGCAGGAGACGGGTCAGGAGGTGCCCGCCACAGTCCTCCTCAGCCAATGCCAGGGTTTGGCCAAACAGCCCCTAGGCCCGAAGCCAAACTTTTGAAGATGCGCCCGAGGATGGAGCATCAGTATTGAATTTGGATCCTTACCCTCCCTTTGTGAATAGATTCTCCCGCTTCTACCGTGCATAGTCCCAGATCACTTCAGATCTCTGGGTCCTGAGCACGGTACGGATGGGATATTCTATCCAATTCTGTTCCCTCCCCCCCCCCCCGCCCCCTTTCCCCGTTTCTCGTCAGGGACCCTTTTCACGAACAACTCCTCTTGCAGGAGGTGCAATCACTCTTCGCTCTAGTGGCAATAGAGGAGGTTCCTCAGAAGTTCAGGGGCAAGTGGTTCTACTCCCGCTATTTTCTCAACCAGGTGAACTCTGACCCCTCCCCCAGGGAAACTACTTGGGAGTCACCTATTGGAATGCACATGAGCAATCACCTGAAGAAGAAAAACGGTTATCTACCTCTCGCATGTGTGTCGGTGGTGCAGCGATGTTCTATATAAACAAACAGGGTAGTGCTTGTTCCTCTCCCCTGAGCTAGGAAGCCCTTGAGCTGTGGGACTTCTGCATGGCCCACTCGACACACCTAGAGGCATCGCATCTTCCAGGAGTACAAAACGAGCTAGCCGATCGCCTCAGCCGCTCGTTTCACAGTCACCTCAGGGCAGACATCGCACACTCAATTTTTCATAGACCTCTACATGATGCAGAGCAAAAGGAAGTGCCAGCGATTCTGCTCTTTCCTGAACCGCAGCCCAGGCTGCATCACAGACGCCTTTCACCTTTCATGAACAAGTCACCTGCTGTACACAGAGTCCTCCTTAAGACTTGCTGGGACAGAGCTTCAATTATCCTCATAGCGCCAGCGTGGCCCCGCCAGCACTGGTTCACCATGCTGATGAACCTCTCAGTGGAAAGACCAGTAGCCCTTCCTGTGTGCCTGAGCCTTATCACACAGGACCACAGCCACCTACAACACCCCAACCTGGAGTTTCTCCACCTCATGGCGCGGAAATTCCATGGCTGAACCCTCTTGAGCTTCAGTGTTTGGAACCAGTGAGTGAGGTCCTGCTGGGAAGTGGGAAACTCTCTACTCATGCCACGTACCTGGCAAAGTGGAAGTGCTTTTCCAACTGGTCTCTGGAGAGGGGCACCGAACTGCAGCTAGCACCAATTCGCCTTGTTTTGGACTACCTGTTATACCTCAAGCAGCAGTGGTTGGCAATATCATCTCTCAGGGTACACCTGGCTGCCATTTCGGCCTTCCAACCGGGGGCAGCGGGTAGGTCAGTCTTCGGCAATCCCATGGTGGGCTGGTTTCTCAAGGCCTTGAACAGAGTTTATCCCCAGGTACAATGGCCCATTCCCCAGTGGGACCTCAACCTGGTCCTGTCCATGCTCATGGGGCCCCCTTTCAAGCCCATAGCAACCTGCTCTCTGTCCTACTTTTCCTGGAAGGTGGCCTTTCTGGTGGCCATAATGTTGGCCAGAAGGGTAGCCAAGCTCAGAGCACTGACTTCCGAGCCCCACTATAATATGGTCTTTTATAAAGACAAGGTGCAGCTACGCCCTCACCCCGCGTTTCTGCCAAAGGTAGTCTCCCAGTTTCATGTGAACCAGGACATATTTTTACCTGTGTTCTTTCCTAAGCCACATCTCAGTAACAGAGAGCCCATGTTCCGTTCTCTGGACATCAGGCGTGCCCTAGCATTCTATACTGAGCGCACAAAGCCATTTCGTAAGTCACCACAGCTCTTTATTGCAATCGCAGAAAGGATGAAGGGGCTTCCGATCTCGTCCCAGCGCATTTCATCATGGATCATGTCCTGTATCAGGACTTGCTATGATCTGGCTAAAATTCCAGCCCCTTCGCTTACGGTGCACTCTATGAGAGCGCAGACATCGTCCGCAGCATTCCTGGCACAGGTCCCTATCAAGGAAATATGCAAGGCAGCAACGTGGTCCTCTGTCCACACCTTCACATCACACTACACCATTACCCAACAGGCAAGGGATGATGTAGCCTTTGGCAGGACAGTCCTGCATTCCTCAACCAGGTGACCTCTGACCCCTCCTCCAGGGAAAGTGCTTGGGAGTCACATATTGGAATGCACATGATCAATCACTCGAAGAAGAAAAACGGTTACCTACCTCTCGTAACTGTTGTTCTTCGAGATGTGTTGCTCATGTCCATTCCAATAGGTGTGCCCATGCTGTGTGCACGATCGTTGGAAGTTTTTTTCCCCTAGAGGTACCTGTCGTGTCGGCTGTGGAGACCCCTGGAATTGTGCCTTCATGACAGTGTATATCAGTCACTTCCGACCTGCCACCTGCTCAGTTCCTTCTTGCTGGAATAATCCGACAGAGGGGAGGCAGGTGGGAATTGGAATGGACAGTTCCTCAGATTTGTCACCTACAAAAGCCGGCTCAGGTTTGGGAATCTCCCCAACATCCTCAGCCGTGAAGACTGAAGCAAAGAATCCATTTAGTTTCTCCGCAATGACTTTTTTGTCTTTAAGCGCTCCTTTTGTATCTCGATCATCAAGAGGCCCCACTGGTTGTTTAGCAGGCTTCCTGCTTCTGATGTGCTTAAAAAACATTTTGTTATTACCTTTGGAGTTTTTGGCTAGCCGTTCTTCAAACTCTTCTTTGGCTTTTCTTATTACATTCTTGCACTTAATTTGGCAGTGTTTATGCTCCTTTCTATTTGCCTCACTTTTTAAAGGAAGTCTTTTTATCTCTCACTGCTTCTTTTACATTGTTAAGCCACGGTGGCTCTTTTTTAGTTCTTTTACTGTGTTTCTTATTTTGGGATATACATTTAAGTTGGGCCTCTATTATGGTCTCTTAAAAAAGTGTCCATGCAGCTTGCAGGGATTTCACTTTAGTCACTGTACCTTTTAACTTGTGTTTAACTAACCCCCTCATTTTTGCATAGTTCCCCCTTTTGAAATTAAATGCCACAGTGTTGGGCTGCTGAGATGTTCTTCCCACCACAGGGATGCAGAATGCTATTGTATTATGGTCACTATTTCCAAGCGGTCCTGTTCTAGTTACCTCTTGGACCAGCTCCTGCGCTCCACTCAGGACTAAATCTAGAGTTGCCTCTCCCCTTGTGGGTTCCCGTACCAGCTGCTCCATGAAGCAGTCCTTTAAAGTATCGAGAAATTTTATCTCTGCATTTCGTCCTGAAGTGAAATGTTCCCAGTCAATATGGGGATAATTGAAATCCCCCAGTATTATTAAGTTTCTCTGCCCCTGCATTCAAGTACTACAGTAATTTGTAACCCAGCATCAGACAACACAGGTTTAAGTTTAAGCGTAGAAGTTTCTGGTTATCAAGGAATAACATACAGATTATCAAGGGGTGCGAAGTTCAGTTTAGGATCAGGTGGCGTAAGGAATACATAATCTGCAATATCCCCAATTGGGGGTAAAAGGTTAACGGGTCAAAGTACAGACATCGAGATATGAGGGTATGTTGTTCATATAATGGCTATGTTCAGGTGTGGAGTTTAATGAGTGGATACGATGATGAGGATGGATTTACCTTCATTTGGTGAGATTTAATGTTCAGTGAGTTTATGGTTCCAGTTCATATGGTCCAATGGAAAAAGTCTCCCAGTCCCTTCCTCGTAGTTGATGCATGATGTTGCTCCAGCTCACGCCTCCTGATACTGTCGGTGACCGGTGATGAGCTCGATTGATTTCTAACCCCGCATCAGCCAACACAGCTGTTTGCTGGATACCTAGGCAGAGTGAGTGTGTTCTTGTAAACACAGTCTGGTCCTGAAGCCTTTTCCCCTCCCCAGCTCATCACTAGCTGTCAGGGGAGAACTCATTCCAAACTTGCTTACCTCTACCTCAGGTGTGGGCAAACTTTTTGGCCGAGGGCCACATCTTGGTGGCTCAGGGAAGGGGGTTGGGGTATAGGAGGGGGTGTAAAGTGCGGGAGGGGGCTTAGAGCAGAGGGTTGGGGTGCAGGAAGGGTGCGGGGTGCGACAGGGCTTAGGGCAAGGGATCAGAGTGCAGGAGGGGTGTAGGATGTGGCAGGTGGTTTAGGGCAGGAGGTTGGTGTGCAGGAGGCATGTGAGGTGCGGCAAGGGGTTGGGGTGCAGGCAGGGTGAGATAGGGGTTCGGGGTGCGGGCTGGGGGCTGCTTACCTGGAGTGGCTCCGGGGCATCAGCGGTATGCACCAGGGCCAGGGCAGGCTCCCTGCTTGCCCTGGCTCTGTGCCGCGTCGCACTGCTCCCAGAAGTAGACGGCATCACGTCCCTGCAGCCCTTGGGGGAGGGCAGAGGGCTCCGTGCGCTGCCCTCGGCTTTGTGTACCTCCTCCGATGCTCCCATTGGCCACGATTCCCCGTTTCTGGTCAATGGGACCTGTGGGAGGCGGTGCCTACAGGCGAGGGCAGTGCGCTGAGCCATCTGTCCCCCACCCCGCCCCCAGGGGCCGCAGGAACGTGGTGCCGGGCGCTTCTGAGAGTGGTGCAGGGCCAGTGGTGCCACAGGGGTGGCAATCCCATGGGCCAGATCCAAAGCCCTGACAAGCCAGATCCAGCCCGCGGGCCGTAATTTTCCCACCCTTGCTCTAGCTTGTTCAGCCATCTGACTGTGCATCCTCAAGATCTAGTCTTCTAACGGGGCTCTCCTCCACCACGTGGGACTGTCTGTATTGCTGCCCCACAGGTACACTGAAAAGATCAGGCTAAGCCAAATTTCTCCATTGCAGCAATTCCTCTGGCCAGTCCAGTCAAGGGCCCATTAAGCCTAGTCCAAGATCTGCATCCCAGGTTCTAAATGGGCAGATACAAGTTAGGGCTTCTGAAAATCCATCAGCACACCAGTATCTCTATCCCAGAGTTGCTGCCCCTCTGTGAGGACACAGCTGTCAGCCCAGCTCTGCCATCATTCATCTGAGACTGGTACTGGGCTGGCAGCACTAGAGAAGAGTGCAGCAATGGCTGCCACAAAACGATGTTGCCAAGTCAGTCATGGCAAGTCAGGAAGACCCACAGGGACAGGTGTTTGCTTCAGGAGGGGGCCGATCTGCTTGCAGGAAGTGTGCATTGCCTCTGCACAGGCAGTTCTAGGGGGTATGGACTCTGGGTGACGTTTTCAGGGAGCTATGGAATTCGATGCTGATGTCAGGCTCAGGCAATCACTAATGACATGGGTGATTATGTTCAACTCCCAATCACCAAGATGCTTCTGCCAGCGTCTGCCCAAGAGCACTGCACAGTATCGCTCTGGAGCAAATACCAGTGCCAGGAGTGAGGGTGTAAATCTGCTCCCCAGGAGGTTCCTGCCAGCAGTGCAGGGGGTGATCTTTTTAAATGCTCTAGTCGGAGCAGTGGGGCAGCCTGCCGTCCAGTCTGCCTAATTAGGTGACAGCCTAGCTAGGTGACAGCTGGCCGTGGGGGGGCAGTGGACAAACTTCAACTTTGCCCAAGTGATTAGCCTGGTCAGTGGTGGGGAGACACTGACAGGCAGTTGCTCTGTGCAGAGACTAGACACAAGCGCTACGTTCCCCAGCGACACGAGAGATCAGTTGCACAGGAACCTCCCTCAGTGTTTCTTTCCTTGGGTGTTTGCAGATGCTGTCATCTCAGAAGTGGCTCAGATCCAACTGGTGAACGGCCCAAGTCGCTGCGCTGGGAGGGTTGAGGTGCTTTACAACCAGAAGTGGGGAACCGTATGTGATGACAGCTGGGACTTACAGGATGCTGGAGTTGTATGCAGGCAGCTGAGCTGTGGGACGGCGTTATCAGCCCCACGAGGAGCTCGATTTGGGCCAGGATCTGACCGTATATTGCTGGATGACGTCAACTGCACAGGGACAGAAGTTGCCCTCTCCGATTGCAGGGCTCGGCCTTGGGGACACAATAACTGTACCCACGGAGAAGATGCCGGTGTTGTGTGCTCAGGTAACTTGCATCCATCATGTCACTGTGCGTAGTGTGGGGATCGGGCTGTGAAACTTCCAGCATAGACCCAGCTCTCCTGTCTGAGTCAGTGCTGACCCCAGTGCCCCAACATGATGCTAAGGGCCTGTACTGTAGGGAGCTGTTTCAGGGTCACACTAAGTGTCGCTCTTCCCATGGTGTCAGTGCTGACCCCATTTTCCCTGCACAGTTCTATGTGCCTATGCTGCAGGGAGTGGGATGGGGGTTCAGCAGGGGGCACTCTCCCCTTAAAGTCAGTGCTGGCCCCTGTGCCCCAGGACACCACTTCGGGCCTGTGCTGCAGGGAGCAGTACATGTTCCTCTGTGAGAGACCCTCCTCGTCGGTGTTCGCTATGATCCCCCTACCCCACTACAGCACAATGGGGTGGCGGTAACCATACATCCCATTTCTGGGATTTGGGGTTGAATGGATCCTGCAGCCACTCAGGGATCCCTTTATGAAGTGTGGGGTTCCTATCTATGTCACTCCGGGTGATTTACATCTCAGCTAATTACCCATAAACTTGTATTATGCCCCACTGTTGTGACTGGAGGCAGGGTTCTTCCTCACTTCCTCTCCTACACAGCTTATGAGTTTCTGTGCCCTGTCTCTCATCTACCCTGTTCCATGCTACAGGTGGCTGCATAGTAGTTGTGAGGAGGAGGGCTATGAGGTTATTAAAAAGTTAATCGAGATTAATTGTGAGATAAAAAATTAATCACGATTAATCGCATAATTTATTGTGCCTTTACACAATAATAGAATACCATTTATTTCATTTTTTGGGATGTTTTCTACATTTTCAAATATATTTATTTCAATTACAACACAGAATTCAAACTGTACATTAGAAATATTTGCACTGTAAAAAAGAAACAAAAGAAATAGTATTTTCAGTTCACCTGCTACAATTACTGTAGTGCAATCTCTTTATCAGGAAAGTTAGAAATGTTGAATGATTTACAAATAATAACTGCAATCAAAGATAAAACAATGTAAAATTTTAGATCCTACAAATCCACTCAGTCCTACAGCTTGTTCATCCAGTTGCTCAGACAGACAAGTCTGTAAACAAGATGCAAGCAGCATTATCCCCTGCAAAGGTAAACAATGTTACCTGAAAGTGAGAACAGGCATTCACATGGCACTGTTTTAGCTGATGTAGCAAAATATTTATGTGCCAGATGTGATAAAAATTCATATGTCCCTTCATGGTTTGACTATAATTCCAGAGAACATGCGTCCATGCTGATGATGGGTTCTGCCCAATAACGATCCAAAACAGTGCAGACCGACAAATGTTCATTTTCATCATCCGAGTCAGATGCCACCAGCAGAAGGTTGATTTTCTTATTTGGTGGTTCAGGTTCTGTAGTTTCCGCATTGGAGTGTTGCTCTTTTAAGACTTCTGAAAGTATGCTCCACACCTCATCCCTCTCAGATTTTCGAAGGAACTTCAGATTCTTAAACCTTGGGTCGAGTGCTGTAGCTAGCTTTAGAAATCTCATATTGGTACTGTAATGTTCCCCTCTGGTGTTATCTGGACTGCTGATCTGCTAAGTCACTCCAATCCCTGACTCTGGGAGCCAGCCTTACCCTGCTCTGCTGTGAGAACCCCCACTCCTGGGCTGTTCACACACAGCCTCTGACATGTAAGTTGCTCCTTGGATCGTGCAACCGGCCAATATCGCCGGTCCCAGACAGAACCCTAGAAACCCTAGTAATCCCTGCTGGATGCTGCAAGTTTATCTAAATAAACTCCCAAGGGGAGTATCTGACATGCTTCAAACCAAACACACTGCTTCAGGTAGAACAAACAAACTGAGTTATTAACTATGAAGATAGATTTTAAGTGGTTATAAGTCAAAGCATAGCAAGTCGGATTTTGTCAAATGAAATAAAAGCAAAACACATTCTAAGCTGATCTTAACACTTTTAATGCCCTTTGAAACTGAGATGCTTCTTACCACCAGCTAGCTGTTTGCTCTTCAGCCAGGCTCTCCCCTTTAATCAGCGCTTCAGTCGCTTGATGTGGTGTCTGTAGATGTAGGTGGAAGAGAGAGGAAGAGCATGGCAAACATTTCTCCCTTTTATCATGTTCTTTCTTCCTCTTGGCTTTGCCCCACCCTCTTCAGGGTCAGGTGAGCATTACCTCACTGCAGTCCCAAACTGACCAAGGGAAGGGGGGTAACTCACTCGAGAGTCCAACAGATCCTATTGTTGCTGCCGAGGCCAGTGTTCTTTGTTCCTGTGAGGCTGGGCTGGGTTTGTCCCATACATACCTTGATGAGGTGTGAACTGCCCTTCTGCTCTTAGAGAGTTTTTGCCTGGGCTTATTTTAAACCATTTGGATACATTTTCAACCTCATAACTATATATGTGAAATTATAACCTGTAACATTACTGCAACAACAATTACTATAAAATCACTATAACAACAAAGCTCAGTGTATTATGAGCCTTCCGAAGACAGCCGACATGACAAACTTTGTATTGGATACTACACAATCATTTTATATGGATGAACATGGGGGTGCTGGGTGATTCCCCGAGGTACAGAGAGTCACAAGTACCTTCTTTGCGTTTTGTGAAATTTGCAGTGAAATTATTCTTAAAATGAACAACATGTGCTGAGTCATCAACCGAGACTACTGTAATATGAAAGATATGCAAAATGCATATAAAATACATAGTAGGAGATACAGATTTCTCTCCCAAGGATTTCAGTCACAAATTAAATTAACAGATTGCTTTTTTAGCGAGCATCATCAGCATGGTAGCATGTCATCTGGAATGGTGGCCAAAGCATGTAGGGGCATGTGAATGTTTAGCATATCAGGCACGTAAATACCTTGCAGTGCCACCTTCAAAAATGCTATGGAATGCCTCTTCTCACTTTTGGGTGACATTGCAAATAAGAAGCAGGCAGCATTATCTCCCGTAAATGTAAATAAACTTGTTTGTTTGAGCGATTAGCTAAACGAGAAGTAAGACTGAGAGGATGTGTAGGCTCTAAGTTTTCCATTGTTGGTTTTTTTGAGTGCAGTTATGTAACAAAAAAAATCAACATTTGTAAGTTGCACTTTCACAATAAAGAGATTGCACTACAGTACTTGTATGAGATGAATTGCAAAATACTATTGCTTTTACCATTTTTACAGTGCAAATATTTGTAATCCAAAATATAGTAAAAACTGTTTTTTCCAACACTTTGCCAACAGGAAAGCTCTATAAATTGGCATTTCGGATCTTCATTGAAATTCCGGTTTATAGTCCGGTTGGCGCGAGGCTGGCAGGGTGCTGGGGCACAGAAGGGGGTTTGCGTGGGCTCTGGGAAGGACTTTGGGTGTGGGAGGGGTCTTGGTACGTGGGAGCGGGTGCGGGTTGTAAGATTCATGGGCCTCTCACCTTGGATGGTTCGCCGTAAGCAGCGACCTGTCCCGGGTTCTGGCTACTCCTAAGCGGAGACGCGTCAGGTGGCTCTGTATTCTTCCCGCCCCCCATGCCAGCTGCACAGCTCCCATTGGCTGGGAACCACGGCCACTGGGAGCTGCGTGCGGAGGGAGTGCACCAGCGCGCCTGCCGTGCCTCCACCTAGGATCAGCTGGGATGACTTGCTGCTTCCAGGGAGTTGCCTGAGGTGGCCCTGGATCCGGCACCCTGCACCCGATACCGCGCCACAACTGCCTATCCTGAGCCCCATCCTGCACCCAAACTCCCTGCCCCAACCCCCAGCCCCGTACTCCCTCCCACACCCAACCCCCCTCCCTCTTCATTTACCAGCATTTTTCATTTACCAGCACCCTCCATTCCCTCATCATGCCGGATAAAACAACTTTATTTGTAATAATGTAAAGTGAGAACTGTACACATTGTATTCTGTGTCATAACTAAAATCAATATATTTGAAAATATAGAAAAACATCCAAAATATTTAATAAATTTCAATTGATATTCTATTGTTTAACAGTGCGATTAAAACTGCGATTAATCGTGATTAATTTTTTTATTCATTATTATTTTTTTGAGTTAACTGTGATTAATTGACAGGAAGTGAACCCCTAACAGGCTGTTGCAGAGGCTATTCAGACATGTCAGTGGGAGGCACTATGTCCTTCTTTGAATGATTGCTAATGTGCATTTCAATAGGTGTGTGCGCGCCGCGTGCATGATCGTCGGAAGGCTTTTCCCTAGCGGTACCCGTGGGGTCGGCTGTGGAGTGGCGCCTTCATGGAGGTGTATATAGGTCCCTGATGACCCGCTGCCTGCTCAGTTCCTTCTTAATGCCAGTGACGGTCGTTGGAGCAGCTCAATCTCTTGCACTCGCAAGTGCCTTCGTAGTGGTTTCCTTTTCTTAGTTGTAGATAGCTAATAGTTTGTTATATAGTAGTTTCTAGTAGGTTGGGCTTACTTTGAGGGGCTTTCTCCCCACCCCAGTTTCCCCAGGCACCTGGGCATGCCTCGGTCACAGGAGTTTAAGGCATACGAGAAGTGTGCGAAAACCTATGCCCACATGCGATTCACACGCTTCTTGTCTCAAGTGCCTAAGAGACAGTATCAGATAGAGAAGGGCCCAATTTGCAGGAGCTTCAGACCCAGGATTAAGAGAGAGCGGGACTATCATTGAAAGCTCCTCCTGATAGAGTCGAGCCTCCGCCCCCAGCCAGCACCGGAAATGGCACCGGCATCATTGGTGCGTAGTGACCCCGCCTCGGTGCGGGATATCCCAGCACCAGGAAAGGACTCCTCCAAGGAGCACCAGCACCTGTTTCTAAGGCCAGTGCTACCAGGTGGCACCGCTCACAGTCCCTGGCGCTGCATAAGAAAGAGAAGGCGGACAGGGGTCGTTCCCCCATCAAGAAGCCACAAGAGGATTCCAGTGGGGTGAGTCATGCAGGAGGACACTCACGGTCTGGATATCAATTCCCGGCACTGTTGACTCTGGTCCCAACTGGAAGCCCATCGAATCCGGTGCTGGTGGATTCCCCGACTCAGGAGGATTTGGAGGAAGAGGTCAACCTCCCCTCAACGCCGGACACCTACGAGGCAACGCGGGACCTAACTGCCATGATGGCGTAGTCCCCGGCCTCGCAGGTGTGAGCTCCGGCACCGCAAGCTCAGGCAACGTAAGTGGCACCGACGACAGCACCGGCTACAGCATCTACGTCAGCACTGCATATGCGTCCGGCACACTTTGTGGTACTGGTGGTGGCTCCGCCCTGGTTCACCATTACGGCAAGCCCATGATGTTACCGCACAGCTCACCATCACCCCAGTACTGCTCCCCGGCACTGTCGGGCGCCGCCCTTCTGTGGTCAGGCACAGAGTACTCGTCTGAGTCAGACGCTGAGTCTTCTGTCTCACCGGTGTGGCGTCTCCTGCTGGTTGTCCAGGGAATTAGCTCTTTTCCAGCTCCGGAGCGCCCTCTGCTGACTGAGGTGTCGCCTGCCGCTGGCCTCCCGAACCCCGGTGCCCTTTGCCCAGGGGTTCTGCCCACCGCAGTGCCCCCTCACTCTGGGTCTCCCCTTCCAGGGGAACCCCCAAACCCCTGTCCCCACCTTGACTCAGTGGCTACTGCCAGTCATCATCTAGCCCCTGCTCTCTGGGGCAGACTGCAGTCTGTAAACCAGTCATCATTGGCAAGGGGGGTTAGACCTGCTGCCTCTGCCTTTATCTGGGCTGCCCCCTGCAGCCCCAGTACCTTTTGGTGTGTCCCTAGCTTGTCCTGCAGCTTGGGACTTTGCTAGGATGGAGCTCCCCAGCTCCCTCTACCCTTCCCCAGTGCTGCTTCACCCTAGATAGAGTGTGTCTCTCTTCTGCTTCTGGCCCCAGCCCTCTTATAAGGGCCAGCTGGGCCCTGATTAAGCTGACCACAGCTGTGGCTGCTTTCCCAATCAGCCCAGCTTTCTGCGATGCAGCCCTCTCCAGGGCTGCTTTATCCCCTTCAGGCAGGAGTGGGGTGCCCACCTCCCTACACCCCCCCCGGAAACATCGGTGGCTCGCCACACCCCCAGGTCTCCTGAGGTCCCCGCATGAGACAGGGACTCTGGGCCATCATGCTCAGGCACAGCGCCCGAACCAGTGCCACTAGTTGTACAGCAGCCACGTCCAGTCAGGGGGAGGCGTGGACAGAGGCACCCAACCCAGCCTCCAGAGAACCAGTAGGGCAAAAAGACCCAGTCCCACGGGCCTCCTCCTCACTGGACGAGGCAGTGGCGGGCTCCACCATCACCCTTTGGCGATGGACACCAGGGGACACCAGGACATTATTAGAAGGGTGTCCCTAAACCTGAATCTCCAGGCAGAGGAGGTCACGGAGGAGTTGGATCCGAAGGTGGACATCCTCCTAGGGTGCTGTGGCAGACTCCAGCCTCAATACCACCCACCACTATAGGGGTGGATAGAAGCTATTTTTTGCCACAGAAAGGGTATGAACACCTTTTCACCCACTTCCAACCAGGGACTCTGGTGGTCGATGTGGCAAATCATAGGTGCAGCCAGGTCCCACCCCAAAGTCATGGAACACTAAGAAGCTGGATTTTTTGGCCGAAAGGTCTACTCGACAGGGGGCCTCCAGCTTCGAGTGGCCAACCAGCAAGCGGTACTCAGCCGCTTTCAATTCCTGGAGCTCGTTAGCAAAATTACAGGAGTTGCTCCTGGCAGACTCATGCAAGGAGTTTAACGCGCTCCTCGAGGAGGGCAAAGTAGTCTTGAGAACCTCCCTCCAGGCTGTGTTAGAAGCGGCAGACTCGGCAGCTTGGACTATGGCCACCGCCATTACAATGAGGCGCAGAACGTGACTGCAGGTGTCGGGGATACCAACTGAAGTCCGGAACACGATCCAGGACCTCCTCTTTGACCGTGCAGGCCTGTTTGCACAAAATACGGATTCTCGCCTGCACAACCTTAAGGACTCAAAGGTGACTTTAAAGCCTTTGGGGATCCACACCCTGCACCCCAAGGAAAGCCATTTAAGCCTCAGTCCCCATCTCATTTCTATTCTGGGCCTCTCAGGCAAGACTCGTCCAGGAGACGGGGCAGGAATAACAGGAGGCGCCCGCCACAGTCCTCCTCAGGCCAAGGCCGGGGTTCTGCCAAACAGCCCCCAGGCCCAAAGCCAAACTTTTGAAGATGTGCCCGAGGACGGAGCATCAGTATCAAACTTGGATCCTTACCCTCCCTTTGTGAATCCATTCTCCCGCTTCTTCCGTGCTTGGTCCAAGATCACGTCAGATCACTGGGTCCTGAGAATGGTATGGATGGGATATTCTATGCAATTCTGTTCCCTCCTGCCCTCCCACCCCCTTTCCCCGTTCCTCTTCAGGGACCCTTCTCACAAACAACTCCGCTTGCAGGAGGTGCAATCGCTTCTCGCTCTATGGGCAATGGAGGAGGTTCCTCAGGAGTTCAGGGGCAAGGGGTTCTACTCCCGATATTTCCTCATCCCCAAGGCCAAGGGTGGGCTCTGGCCTATCCTGGATCTGCGAGACGTCAACACATTCATGAGGAAAGTGAAGTTTCACATGGTCTCTCTGGTCTCCATCATTCCTTCCCTGGATCCAGGGGACTAGTATGCCACCTTAGACTTGAAAGATGAGTACTTTCATATCTCCATTATCCGGCCCACAGACATTTTCTTCATTTTGTGGTCAGTGGCCAGCACTACCAGTTCAGGGTGCTCCCTTTTGGGCTCTTGGCGGCCCCCGGGTATTCACAAAGTGTGTGGCGGTCGTTGCAGCCTTCCTCCGCAAACATCAGGTGCAAGTATTTCCGTACCTGGACAACTGGCTCATCAAGGCCGTGTCAAAAGCACAGGCTGCAGAGCATGTGTCACTGGCTCGGGCCACCTTCCCAAATCCACCCTAGCCCTGACGCAGAGAATAGAATTCATACGAGCTCTCTTGGACTCCACACAGGCCAGGACGTTCCTGCCCGAGCTGCGCTTCTAAGCACCTCATGGACATTATTGAAAACCTTCGCCAATTCCCCACAACCACGGCCAGAAATTGCATGAAACTGTTGGGGGATATGGCGGCCTGCACATACGTGGTCCAGCACATCAGGTTACGCCTTCGCCCCCCCCAGGCGTGTTTGGCGAGGGTACACAGGCTTGGCAGGGACCCACTGGACCAGATAGTTACCCTCCCCACTCGCATTCTTGAGTCTCTCCACTGGTGGTTGCAGCAGGCGTACCCTTTGCCCAACCCCATCCTACGCTATCGCTAGTCACGGACCCCTCAGCGCTCGGTTGGGGAGCGCACCTGGGCAATATCAGAACCCAAAGCCTATGGTCCCACACAGAACTATCGCTGCACATCAGTGTAAGGGAGCTGAGGGCGGTTCGTCTGGCATGCCAAGCATTCCAGGCTCACCTTCAGGGCGCATGTGTGTCGGTGGTGCCGCGATGTTCTATATAAACAAACAGGGTAGTGCTTGTTCCTCTCCCCTGAGCTAGGAAGCCCTTGAGCTGTGGGACTTCTGCATGGCTCACTCAATACACCTAGAGGCGTCGCACCTTCCGGGTGCACAAAACGAGCTAGCTGATCACCTGAGCTGCTCATTTCGCAGTCAAGAATGATCCTTCAGGCCAGACATCACACACTCGATTTCCCAGAGGTGGAGGCTTTCCCCACATAGACCTCAACCTGGTCCTGTCCATGCTCATGGGAACCCCTTTCGAGCCCATGGCGACCTGCCCTCTGTCCTGCCTTTCCTGGAAGGTGGCCTTTCTGATGGCCATAACCTCGGCCAGAAGGGTATCCCAGCTCAGAACGCTGACTTCCGAGCCGTCCTATACGGTCTTAAATAAAGACAAGGTGCAGCTACGACCTCACCCCGCGTTTCTGCCAAAGGTAGTCTCCCAGTTTGATATGAACCAGGACATATTTTTACCTGTGTTCTTCCCTAAGCCACATGCCAGTAACAGAGAACACATGTTCCATTCCTTGGATGTCAGGCGTTCCCTAGCATTGTACATTGGCCACACAAAGCCATTTCGTAAATCACCACAGCTCTTTATTGCAATCGCAGAAAGGATGAAGGGGCTTCCGATCTCGTCCCAGCGCATTTCATCATGTATCATGTCCTGTATCGGGACTTGCTACGACCTGGCTAAAATTCCAGCCCCTTCGCTTACGGTGCACTCCACAAGAGCACAGGCGTTGTCCGCAGCATTCCTGGCGCAGGTCCCTACCCAGGATATATGCAAGGCAGCAACGTGGTCCTCTATCCACACCTTCACGTCAGACTACGCCATTACCCAAAAGGCAAGGGACGATGCAGCCTTTGGCAGGGCAGTCCTGCCTTCCTCAACCAGGTGAACTCTGACCCCTCCCCCAGGGAAACTATTTGGGAGTCACCTATTGGAATGCACATGAGCAATCACTTGAAGAACAAAAACGGTTACCTACCTCTCGTAACTATTGCTCTGTGAGATGTGTTGCTCATGTCTATTCCGAATCCCACCTGTCTTCCCTCTGTCGGAATATTCCGGCAAGAAGGAACTGAGCAGGTGGCGGGTCGGCAGTGACCGATATACACTGTCATGAAAGCACCACACCAGGGGTCTCCACAGCCCACCCGACAGGTACCGCTAGGGAAAAAAACCTTCCAACAATCGTGCACGTAGTGTGTGCACATCTATTGGAATGGACATGAGCAACACATATTGAAGAAGAACAGTTACGAGAGGTAGGTAACCGTTTTTTCCACAGCATCACTAGAGATCGGACGCACAGGAACCTCCCTGAATGTTTATTCCCTTGGCTGTTTGCAGACGCTGGCATCTCAGAAGTGGCTCAGCTCCACCTGGTGAACGGCCCGAGTCACTGCGCTGGGAGGGTCGAGGTGCTTCACAACCAGAAGTGGGGAACCGTGTGTGATGACAACTGGGACTTCCAGGATGCCGGAGTCGTGTGTAGGCAGCTGGGCTGTGGGACGGCGTTATCAGCCCCAGGAGGGGCTCGATTTGGGCAAGGATCTGACCGTATCTGGCTGGCTGACATCAACTGCACAGGGACAGAAGTTGCCCTCTCCGATTGCAGGGCTTGGCCTTGGGGAAAGAATAACTGTACCAATGGAGAAGATGCCGGTGTTGTGTGCTCAGGTAACCTTCATCTACCACCCTGCCTTGTAGGAAGGAGGGTAGGAAACTCATTAGCGGGCCTTGTCCCCTCACAGCCAGAGCTGACCGCAGCATGGTGCTTGGGGGTCTGTGCTTCAGGGAGCAGTATGGCAATTCCAGTAGGGAGCGCTCTCCTCTCAGTCTGTGCTGACCCTAATTCCCCTGTGCAGTTCTATGGGCCTGTGCTGCAGGGAGCGGTGTGAGGGCTCAGTAGGGGACGCTCAAGCTCTCTTCTTGATTTCAGTGCCAGCCCCAGTGCCCTAGTGTGGTGCTAGGGGGCCTTTGCTTCAGGTAGAGGTGTGTCAGTAGGGGGCGCTCTCTGTAGTTGTGCTGGCCCTAATGCCCCAGTGCAGTGCCATGGGCCCCTAGCATGTGCAAGCCTTGTGTTTGCCCGATGGGGGGCAGCTCCCCGACTCCCTTGGCCAGAGGCCACACAAGCCGTGCCCTCTAGGCCTTGGAGAGGGGTTGACCTCTTTCCAGGTTGGCAATAGGCACACTTCACCCCTCAGCCCTCCGAGTGTCTCCCTGTACCACTCAGTCCCTTCCTTGCTGGGCATTCACAGCAGTCACAGATCTGCTGCTCCCAAAGGAACAGGGTCCCAAGGTGACCAGCTCCACCTCCCATCTCAGCCCCAATCAGCACACAGCTCTAGATCCCTTCATAGTCACACCAACGACAAGTGATTTCACAGAGTGTAGAAATTTGAGGGGTAGCAAGGAGAAGGGTTGGAAAGAAATGGTTCCATGGCCAATAAAATCATATCACGCTGACTAGAGCCTTGACTCATTGAACGAGATACTTTTCTGTCTGGTAGAGCAACGCTCACGCCACAGTCCTTGCAGGGTTTTACTCCAGGCTTGGCTGTGTCTCTTGTTCCTGAGACAAACGCTGTCAGCTGCCTCCTGGGTGAAAGGGAGCTCTTGTTCCCTCTCCTCTTTCTTTGTAGGTACAGACCATTGTCTCTTCCCAGAAGTGGTCTCTCTTTGGAGACTTGTGCTGAGGGTTAAATTCTCAGGCCCCCACTGGGCCCAGACAGAGAATATAGCCTGTCTCCACAGCTGTGCATTGTTCTATGTGCTGATTGGCACAGCCGAAGGATTGCCATGGCGCAGGTGACAAGCTTCACTACACTTCTGAAGCATCATATTCTACATTTTACATTTCTCTTCAGCTATGTCCCATACAAACATCTTGCCCCCATTAGGGTGACCAGTGGGCTGCTGGCTCTTGGTAGACACCTCACATACCACCTCTGGTGAGCTATTGTGCATGTATCTCACCCTTTGGATCCCCGTATAAGTCTAGGCATCCCTGTGCCCTCTGCCAGTTGGCATCCACTTATCTCTGGGCCAGACTCCTCTGCAGCACAATGGGGACCTGGGTAACTGCAGCTTCCACTGGTTGAATTTGGTGTCAATGGAGCCTGCAGGGCCAATTTGTCAAGAGTCCGGTTCCTAAGCACTGTGTTCCGGCAGATTTGCATTTCAGGGAATTATTCCTGAAGTTGTAACTTCCCCAAGACCTAGACACAGGAGACACAATTCTTCCTCACTTCCTGTACTACACAGCTTACATATTTCACTGTCCTGTTTCTCAGCTGCCCTGACCTACCCCAGAAGTGGCTGAATGTCATTGGGGCCATCTTCTTCTTTTGTGTATATGAGAAGTCAATATCTATGTAACCGTTCTGCCAGTGGCGTCGGAAGCGACTAAGGCCGGGTTCAATATCTAGGGGTTCCTTTCCAGGAATATAACACAGATCCGGCTTGAGAACCCACCCAGTAACCTGGGTCAATTGTACACCACCCCTTGGGTGCTTCTATGATGCAAAGCTTCCCCTCTTGCAAGCACATGTAACCCCTTTGGGGTTTAAAGAGCATGGCCCTTTAAATCTTTTTCCTAAAGGGGAGGGGGAGAGTAAGAAAAAAGGAGGGAAACTCCAGGGGGCAGCGCTGGAGCTCCAGGGAGCGGGAGAGGCAGCCTGCAGGCCCTGGAAAAGTGAAGCAGCAGAGAACCTGCCTGAAGACTGGGAAGGACAGGGTCGATCGGGGACACCCCAGGACAGGATCCAGGAGGAGCACTATGCCAGGGAGGAATTGCCCGAGAAGGACAGGCTGGAGCTGGACCCAGTTTCACTGCTGCCCAGAGCTGCGAGTACTGGGGCTTGTGACACTGCATTGGGGACAAGGAGGGAGGTTGCTAGATAGTTAAGTGGGGAGGTGGTCGCTCTGTCTGGCTTTGCAGAGAGTGGCAGAAGAGGGCACCGGAGGGGTTTGTTGGGGGAAAGTTCACTGGCGCCGAAGATGACCAGGAGCACCCAAAACTCACCACTGGACTGGAACTTTGCTCAGGACTCCTGAACTCTGTGTCCAGACACATTGCTCAGTGTCTGCCCTTCCAGACTGTGCTACCACTGGGCCTGTGGGGCCTTGGCTTGGATGAAGCCCTGTCTTACTGCTCCCCCTATATTTCCCCTTGTTGTTTTTCTCCTCTCATTCCTCTGTAAATAAACATTTCCCTTGTTATATCCATTGTACAATTCCTGTAGGTGTGTGTGTTCACTCTGGGGGGTTTGGAACAGGTGCCCTTGGGGTGGAAGGGATTTCTCCTGCTGCATTCCTGCGCACGCCTTCTCTTGGCCAGAGCTGCCTGCAGAGCAGACTCCATCTTGGCCATGAGGGCGCTAAAGTTACACACAGAGTCTCAGTGAAGAAAAGAAACTTTTTAATAAGAGGAGGGAAGTCCCCCGGCATTAACTTGGGAAAATGCCAGAAACAGGATTTATAAACATGAAACCATGAGCAAAACACCGTCCTGAGAATATATTGGGCAGTGTCTTTTGCCTCAGGTTCTCGAGTCCAGCAACCAAAATTTCCTTTAAGGTGCCCCCCCTTCTCTCTCCAGCACACCCCACCCACAGTGGTTGTCCTTGGTTAGCGAAGACCCAGAGTTCAGAGGTGCACCTGTGTGAGTTCACTTCCCAACTTTGGGGCGGGGAGGAAAGCTCCTAGCTGATCTGCTGTCTGAGTGCTTGCTCTGGTGGCAGCTACCCCGCCGTCCACTCATCCCTCCGCTCGCCCTCACCTTCTGCTGCCCCCGGCCTCTCTACTGTGACCTCTGCAGGTCGCTCTGTTGAAGCGCCACCCAGTTCTTAGTGACTGTCAGCTCTTAGTGGGGAAACCTCAGTGCTGAAGCAGGCTGGGCAGACTGCAGTCCAGTCTGCCTAATTAGGTGACAGCTTAAGTAGGTGAGAGCTGGCAGGGAGCGGAGTGAACAAACTTCAACATTGCCGAAGTGATTAGTCTGGTCAGTGGCAGTTGCTATGTGCAGAGACCGGTCAGATTCGTCTGCAGGAGGCGCTATGTTCCCCAGTGACACAAGAGATCAGATGCACAGAAACCTCCCTGAGTGTTTATTCCCTTGGGTGTTTTCAGATGCTGGCATCTCAGAAGTGGCTCAGCTCCGACTGGTGAACAGCAGGAGTCACTGCGCTGGGAGGGTCGAGGTGCTTCACAACCGTCAGTGGGGAACCGTGTGTGATAACGACTGGGACCTACAGGATGCCGGAGTCGTATGCAGGCAGCTGGGCTGTGGGACGGCGTTATCAGCCCCAGGAGGGGCTCGATTTGGGCAAGGGTCAGACCGTATCTGGCTGGATAACGTCAACTGCGCGGGTACAGAAGTTGCCCTCTCCGATTGCAGGGCTCGGTCTTGGGGAGAGAATAACTGTAACCACAGAGAAGATGTCGGTGTTGTGTGCTCAGGTAACTTGCATCCATCACGTCACTGTGGGTGGTGCAGGGATTGAGCTGGGAAGCTTTCAGCACAGACCCAGCTCTCCTGTCTGATCCCTGGTCTACACTGGGGAGTGGGGTCGACCTAAAATACGCAACTTCAGCTATGCGAATAGCATAGATGAAGTCGGCGTATCTTAGGTCGACTTACGTGGCTGTGAGGACAGCAGCGAGTCGACCGCTGCCGCTCCCCCGTCGACTCCGCTTCCGCCTCTCGCAAGCTGGAGTTCCGGAGTCGACGGAGAGTGCCATCGGGGATCTATTTTATCACGTCTACACTAGATACGATAAATCGATCCCCAATAGATCAATCAGTACCCTCCGATCTGGCAGGTAGTGAAGACCTGCCCTCAGTCAGCACTGACCCTAGTGCCCCAGCATGGTGTTAAAGGCCTGTATTGCAGGTAGTGGTGCGTTAGTAGGGGGCGCTCTCCGTTTGCAGTTATGCTGGCCTTGATGCCCCACCACGGTGCCATGGGCCCCTAGAATGAGGAAGCCTTGTCTGTGCCCGCTGGGGGGTAGCTCCCTGACTCCCTCGGCCACAGGCCACACAAGCCGTGCCCTCTAGTGCCCTGTAGGCCTTTGAGAGAAGGTTGACCTCTCTCCAGGTTGGCAATAGGCACACTTCACCCCCTCGGCCGTCCGAGCGTACCCCTGCAGCACCCAGTCCCTGTCCCACTGGGCATTCACAGCAGTCACAGACCACCTCCCATCTCTGCTTCAATCAACACACAGCTCTAGAACCCTTACTAGTCACACCAAGGACAAGTGATTTCATAGAGTGTACATATTTGAGGGGTAGCAATGAGAAGGGTTGGAAAGAAATGGTTCTATTGGCAAATAAAATTATACCACATTGACTAGAGCCTAGACTCATTGAACGAGATACTTTTCTGTCTGGTAGAGCAACGCTTACCCCACAGTCCTTCCAGGGTTTTACATAAGAACATAAGAATGGCCGTACTCGGTCAGATCAAAGTCCATCTAGCCCAGTATCCTGTTTACCGACAGTGGCCAATGCCAGGAGCCCCAGAGGGAGTGAACCTAACACCTAATGATCAAGTGATATCTCTCCTGCCATCCATCTTCACCCTCTGACAAACAGAGTCTAGGGACACCATTCCTTACCCATCGTGGCTATTAGCCATTAATGGACTTAACCTCCATTAATGTATCCAGTTCTCTTTTACGGTTATCCAGGCAGTTATGCACCCACCTTATAGTAGCCCCATCTAAATTGTATTTGCTTAGTTTATTGATAAGAATATCATGCAAGACCGTATCAAATGCCTTACTAAAGTCTAGGTATACCACATCCAGAGTGTCTCCCTTATCCACAAGAGTCGTTATCCTATCAAAGAAAGCTATCAGATTGGTTTGACACGATTTGTTCTTTACAAATACATGCTGGCTATTCCCTATCACCTTACCACCTTCCAAGTGTTTGCAGATGATTTCCTTAATTACTTGCTCCATTATCTTCCCTGGCACAGAAGTTAAACTAACTGGTCTGTAGTTTCCTGGGTTGTTTTTATTTCCCTTTTTATAGATGGGCACTATGTTTGCCCTTTTCCAGTTTTCTGGAATCTCTCCAGTCTCCCATGATTATCCTTCCATTTAGATTGAACTGAATTAACTCATGATCGCTCCAACCAAAGTTGTCCCCTACAACCATTTGTTCTATGAGGTCCTCACTACTCACCAAAACCAAATCTAAAATGGCATTCTCTCTTGTTGGTTCAGCAACTACTTGGTGAAGGAATCCATCAGCTATCACATCCAGGAAAATCTGAGCCCTATTATTATTACTAGCACTTGTCCTCCAGTTATATCTGGGAAGTTAAAGTCTCCCATGATCACACAATTCCCTTAGTATTTATTACCCTGAAAATATTAAAGAGGTCTCCATCCTTATCCAAATCAGATCCCGGCGGTTTGTAGCACACCCAAACATTATCCCAGGGGAGGCTCTCGTAGCTTTCTTTTCCAATGTGATTTTTGCCGAGACAGACTCTGTCTTATCCATTCCATCACTTCTTATTTCTTTACAGTCTACCTCACAATTGATATACAATGCTACTCCACCACCTTTGTCTTTATTTCTGTCTTTTCTAAACAGCACATACCAGTCACAACTACTATTCCACCATGTTTCTGTTATCCCTATAATATCTGGTTTCACTTCCTGCACCAATAGCTCTAGTTCCTCCATTTTGTTACCTAGGCTCCTCGCATTAGTGTACAAACATCTTAATTTTTGCTCTTTGGCTTCTCTCACATTCTTTACCCAATTAGGCACGGACAGTCTACCACCAGTATCACCTATTAGTCTTGTATCTACACTACCCTTCCTCCTTATGTCCATTCTCCTACCCACGGCTGTATCCTTTCTTACTTCTTTTCTTTCCTCTCAATGTTAAAATCCGGCATGGAGATTACCTGGACATCTCCCAACCATCTCCCCCAAATTCCTAGTTTAAAGCTCTCTTAATCAGTTGGGCCAGCCTCCATCCTAGAAATCGATTTTCCCGCCCTAGTCAGGTGAAGTCCATCCTGAGAGAACAGTCCTCTGTCCATGAATGCTTCCCAGTGGCCATACATCCGAAAGTCCTCCTTATAGCACCACTGCCTGAGCTATCTGTTGATCATCATAATCTTGTCACATCTTTGTTGCCCTTCTCTAGGAACAGGCAGAATCCCACTGAAGATCACCTGAGCCTCGATTTCCTTAAGCGTCTTCCCCAGCCTGGCATAGTCTCCCTTGATACGTTTTAGCGAGAATCTAGCCGTATCATTTGTTCCCACACGAAGGACAATCAGAGGATTCTTTCCCACTCCTGTTAGGATCCTTTTCAGCCTCAGGTCCACATCCTGTATGTTAGCACCCGGCAGACAGCACAACCTTCTGTTATCCGGATCAGCTCTAGTTACAGGCCTGTCTATTCTTCGCAGTAAGGAGTCCCCAATCACGTAGACCTGCCTTTTCCTGGTGATGGTGCGATTCTCCGGTCTATCCCCTGCTCCCTCTGGCTGAAAGTCCTCTCGATTTCTATTGTCCCTTGCAATCCTCTGCAACCCATCCCATATCCTCCTCGGGCTCATATTTGGTGTTGTTATCTCCATTGACTCTTCCTATAGCACTAGCTGCTCTTCTCTTCTTCCTTGCCCTCTCATCTTCAGCTACCACCTGCTGTGCCCCTTCTTCATTTTCCAACTCTGCAAACCTGTTCCTGAGCTCCATTTCTCCTTCACCAGCCCGTCTTTTCATCAGCCCGGTTCTCTTAGTCACATGCTTCCACTGTCCACATTCCTCTCCCAGCAGTCTCCCCTCAGAGTTGTTTGGTCCTGCTTCCATCTGCAAGTCTGAGCTTTTCCCTTCAGCCTCCTCATGTCTTTGCTCCATCATCCACTCAAACCCCCTTCTAAACTCAGCCAGAGTTTCCACCTGCATCTCCAATCCTCAGATCTTTTCTTCCATCAGCTTTATCAGGCAGCATTTCATGCAGAAGAAACTCTTTTCAGGTACCCACTCCAGGATCATGTACATGCTGCAGCTTCCACATCCAGTCATCCTCATTGTGTCTTCCACTGCTTCTGTCACTACCACTGCTGCCTCTGTATCTGTCATAGCCTTCTCAGCTAAGTCCTGTTAGTCCAGGAAACAAAACCAAAAGCAAAACACCACCACTCACAGCAAAACAAACCCCCAATGAGCACCAAAACACTGCCAGACCAGCACACACTCCCTTCACTACCCTGTCTATTCCTCTGTCTGGTTCTCTTAGTCTTCCCCACAAACTCCCCTTGCCAACTCCAACTCAAACTCCCCTGTTTACAGCTCTGTTTGCAGGCTCCTCTGCCTCTGCAGCTGTCTATGTCTATATCTCACCCAGGGGATCGCTTTATAACTCTAGGCATCCCTGTGACCTCTGCCAGTTGGCGTCTACTTATCTCGGTGTCAGACTCCTCTGCAGCACAATGGGGACCTGGGTAACTGCAGCTTCCACTGGTTGGATTTGGTGTCAATGGAGCCTGCAGCCGCCAATTCAAACTAAAAATCCAGGGCCAATTTCTCAAGAGTACAGATCCGGCTTGAGCACCCACCCAGTAACCTGGAACAATTGTACACCACCCCCTGCGTGCTTCTACAAGGGAAAGCTTCCCCTCTTGGAAGCACAGAGTCTCAGTGCAGAAAAGAAACTTTTTAATAAAAGGATGGAAGCCCCCTGGCATTCATTCGGGAAAACGCCACAAATAGGATTTATAAACATAAAACCATGAGCAAAACACCTCCCCCAGAGTATGTTGTGCAGTATCTTTTGCCTCAGGTTCTTGAGTCCAGAAACCTAAAATTCCTTTAAGGTGCCCTTCCCTTCTCCCTCCACTGCACCATCACTCACAGTGGTTGTCCTTGGTTAGTGAAGACCCAGAGTTCAGAGGTGCACCTGTGTGAGTTCAGCTCCCACCATGGGGGTGGGGAGGAGAGCACCTGGGTCGCTCTGCTGTCTGGGTGCTTGCTCTGGTGGCAGCTGCCCTGCCAGTCACTGACCACTCTGCTGGCCCTCACCTTCTGCTGCCCCCGGCCTCTCTACTGTGACCTCTGCCGGTCGCTCTCTTGAGGCTTCACCCAGCTCTCAGTGACTGTCAGCTCTTAGTGGGGAAACCTAAGTGCTGAAGCAGGCTCGGCATAAACACTGTCTCATAGCAGGTTTCGAAGAAAAAGACAGTTCTCACTCTTTGGTTGGGTGCAGCAAAGGCAGATACTTTATTATCTCAAGCAATTGCGTAGAGGGCGAGAGTGCACTAGGACACACGGTTTCCCCACCTAGGCAGGTCTCTCAAAAGATAAACAATTAAGGCAAGCATTTCTACTTTTTGTTACATACAATAATAAGCAACAGCTGCATTTTGTTTATACATAGGTCATCCTGATATCTTATTTTCCTCAGTTATTTAGACTCTAGTCTATATTCCATATATCTACACAAGGTCGCAACAACTTCTCACACAGTTCTTTCCTACTCACCTCATACAATCCTTGCTTCTACAAATCTCGCATTATTAGGCTAACAGCTAGCCTGACTCTTGCTCACAGAAGGACTGTTTGCATTGACATCCCCTTCAAGTCCCTGTCAGGTCTTGATCTGCTTCCACACAGGTGATTTCAGCTCTAGTGATCACTTAAACCCAAAAGACTCCGAATGGAGCCTTCATTAACTCTATCTTTGAAGAGCGGTGCTTAAACCATGCCTAGACCTCTTACACAGAGCGCACACCCCCTCAGCAGGAACATCCATCGCCACCCCCTCTCACTCTTCATAGGGATCTGGTGTCTGAGCCCCCTGGTTAGTGAATTCAGTTCAGTTGTGGGTGACCCCCTCAGTCTGGGCAGGCTAAGCACAGTTCTGCTGCCCTTTACTCACACAATCAGGAAAGCAACATTTCACTACCCCTGAATTCAAGTACTACAGTGATTTGTAACCCAGCATCAGCCAATACAGCTCTGTTTGCTGGCTACCTAGGCAGAGTGGCTGTGTTCTTGTAAATACGAGCCTTTCCCCCTCCGCAGTTCATTACTCATTATCAGGGGAGAGCTCATTCTGTCCTTGCTCACCTCTAGCTTGTTTAGCCATCTCACTGTGCATCCTCAAGGTCCAGTCTTCTAACAGGGATCTCCTACACCACGTGTGACTGTCTGTACTGCTGCCCCTCAGGCACACTGAGAAGATCAGGCTAAGCCAAATCTCTGCATTGCAGCAGTCCCTCTGGCCAGTCCAGTCAGGGGCCCATTAAGCCTACTCCAGGATCTCCATCTCAGGTTGTAAATGGGCAGATACAAGTTAGGGCTTCTGAAAATCCATCAGCACGCCAGTCTCTCTATCCCAGAGTTGCTGCCCCTCTGTGAGGACACTGCTGTCAGCCCAGATCTGTCATCATTCATCCGAGACTGGTACTGGACTGGCAGCACTAGACACGAGTGCAGCAATGGCTGCCACAAAATGATGTTGCCAGGTCAGTCGCGGCAAGTCAGGAGGAACCGCAGGGGCAGGTGTTTCCTTCAGGAGGGGCCAACGTGCTTGTAGGAAGTGTGCATTGCCTCTGCCCTGGTCAGAACGATTGTCAGCCTGGTGCGCAGCAGGTTCCTGGCAGCCGTGCCTGTGCTCCAGGCAGTTATAATGGTGATGGATTCTAGGTGACATTTTCAGGGAGCGATGGAGCCAAAGCATGTAAATTCGATGCTGATGTCAGGCTAAGGAAACCACTAATGACACGGGTGAATGTGTTCAGCTCCCAATCGCCAAGATGCTTATGCCAGCATCTGCCTCACAGCACTGCACAGTATTGCACTGGAGCGAATACCAGCAGTCCAGTCTGCCTAATTAGGTGACAGTCTAACTAGGTGAGAGCTGGCTGTGAGGGGAGTGGACAAACTTCAACATTGCCCAAGTGATTAGCCTGGTCAGTGGTGGGGAGCCCTTGACAGGCAGTTGCTGTTTGCAGAGACCGGTCATATTCGTCTGCAGGAGGCACTAAGTTCCCCAGCAACACGAGAGATTAAATGCACAGGAACCTCACTGAGTGTTTCTTCCCTTGGGTGTTTGCAGATGCTGGCATCTCAGAAGTGGCTCAGCTCCGACTGGTGAACAGCAGGAGTCAATGCGCTGGGAGAGTTGAGGTGCTTCGCAACCAACAGTGGGGAACCGTGTGTGATAACGACTGGGACTTACAGGATGCTGGAGTCGTATGCAGGCAGCTGGGCTGTGGGACGGCGTTATCAGCCCCAGGAGGGGCTCGATTTGGGCAAGGATCTGATCGTATCTGGCTGGATAACATGAACTGCACAGGGACAGAAGTTGCCCTCTCCGATTGCAGGGCTCGGCCTTGGGGAGAAAATAACTGTACGCACGGAGAAGATGTCGGTGTTGTGTGCTCAGGTAACTTGCATCCATCAAATCACTGTGGGTGGTACATGGATCGGGCTGAGAAGCTTTCAGCACAGACTCAGGTCTCCTGTCTGAGTCTGCGCTGACCCCAGTGCCCGAGCATGGTGCTAAGGGCCTGTACTGCAGGTAGGGGGGTGTCAGTTGGGGGTGCTTTCCGTTTGCAGTTGTGCTGGCCCTAATGCTCCAGTGCAGTGCCATGGGCCCCTAGCATGAGGAAGCCTTGTCTGTGCCCGCTGGGGGCAGCTTCCCGACACCCTCGGCCACAAACCACACAAGCTGTTCCCGCTAGGCCTTGTGGAGGTGGGTGACCGCTGTCAAGGTTGGTAATATGCACGCTTCACCCCTCGGCCCTCGGAGTGTCCTCCTGCAGCACCCAGTCCCTGTCTCGCTAGGCATTCACAGCAGTCACATGTCTGCTGCTCCCAAAGGACCACGGTCCCAAGGTGACCAGCTCCACCTCCCATATCTGCTCCAATCAACAGAAAGCTCTAGATTCCTTCATAGTCACACCAAGCACAAGTGATTTCACAGAGTGTAGAGATTCGAGGGGTAGGAAGGAGAAGGCTTGGAAAGAAATGGCTCCTTGGCTAATAAAATCATAGCACGCTGACTAGCGCCTAGAGTCATGGAACGAGATACTTTTCTGTCTGGTTGAGCAACACTAACTGCACAGTCCTTCCATGGTTTTACTGGAGGCTTGGTTGTGATCTCCTGTTCCTGACAGAAATACTGTGAGCTGTCTCCTGTGTGAAAGGGAGCTCTTGTCCCCTCTCCTCTTTCTTTGTAGGTGCAGACCATTGTCTCTTCGCAGAAGTGGTCTCTTTTTGGAGACTTGTGCTGAGGGACCTTTGTCTTTGTAAATTCTCAGGCCCCCACTGGGCCCAGGCAGAGAATATAGCCTGTCTCCACGGCTGTGTTGTCTCTGGCTGTGCTTTTTTCTATGTGCTGATTGGCTCAGCCGAAGGGATTGCCATGGTGCAGGTGACAAGTTTCACTTCAACACTTCTGCAGCATCATATTCTATATTTTACATCTCTCTTCAACTATGTCCCATACAAACTTCTTGCTCCCATTAGATGGACCAGCAGGCTGCTGGCTTTTGGTAGAGGCATCACATGGCACCTTTGGTGAGCTATTGTGCATATATCTCACCCAGGGGATCCCTGTATAACTCTAGGCATCCCTGTGCCCTCTGCCAGTTGGCGTTGTGAAGCAAGGAGATTCTTTCCCCCAAGAATCAAGCAGAACAGACAATACTGAAGAGGTTTATTCACGGCACTAGGAAGACTGATAAAGAGCTTCAAAAGTATGATGTTATAGTGACCAGTTATATACATTTTCTTATTAATGCATTTGCATTTATTATGTAGTTACAATGACAAACATTTTTTCAGAGAGAGAGAGGGAGGGAGAGAACACTTAACATAATGAGGTGAGTGTTTACAGATATCCGGAGAGCTGTGGATGGTTTGTACTCTTTTTCCTTACTGAGAGGCCAAGTGACTGTGTGGACATCTGACCATTTAAGTTATCAAGTGTTTACAGCTGCCATTGTCCCTGGGCCTGCTTGTTAGTTACGTGGGTTTCTGCCTCAGCTGCTAACTGAATTTTTAACTCCTTGCCTAAAAGTTCCCTCCCGTTTGACAAATCGAACTCCCAGGTGAGATGTAGTCAATACTTTAATGCTTTGGTTTACATGATCTGTCTTA